ATGAGAAAGATGAGCAAATGACACGAATTAAAACCCCGCACCGAAAATGACATAATTTATTATTGTACCATAACGCTGCAAACCTGAGATAAGCTAAAAAAGGTTCACCATTGTCGGAGTTTTCAAGCAGAAATTTCGTAACCACGTTACGGAATTTCTCAATATTCCCCGGCTCCGCGTACACTTCGTGACCGGTGCAGCGTATTTTAACATATTTCACACCGCTGCTTGTCCATTCAAGTGGATCGTAGTACCTGTCGGTTGCTGTTAAATCGATCACCAAGCCTACTTTCTTGCCCTGCCTATCTGCCTGAAATTAAAATCGAAAATTTTTCGAATAATCGAATTAGCCCAGCTAATTTGCACTTATTTTTTAGGTCTCACACAGCAGCCTCCTCTCTTTGTCGCTGTATAAAGACTACTTTTATATGGAGCTATATAAGCTGGCAGGTTTGTTGCGTAAGAAGTGGCGCTATTCCCAAGCTCAAATCGATGAAATCTGCCACCGGCGAATCCCTTTACGATTCGATCGAAAAGCTATGCTGGCATTTTGGAGGACTGCAACTGCTTTTAAAAAATTCTCCAAATATCAAAACCATGCCAGCGGATGTTGCTGCTAAGCACTATCACTTCGGCCAAATCGTCACAATGCCTTTGCCCTGCCAAAATGAAGATACAATTTAATCTTTCGACCACACTTATACCTAAATTGTCATAAAGAAAAACTGCGCATTTATGGAGAATGACAGGCAACAGATGGACAAAGCAGACTATTAAATGGTACCCGTGCAATGCTGCACCGGCGGGAATCACTCTAACAGCAGACTTAGTGGAAGCTACGTGGATACGGAGAATTCAAAACACAAAATTGGCAGTTGCATCGGCAAAGGGGAATCAGTAGAAAAGCAAGGTAGGGAGTTCGCTTAATTTCCTGATAGTTCTGGATGAAATTTCTTCGTTTTCTGGATTCAAAAGTGTGCACCTTATAACAGCTATACTTGCCACTACAGTAACAAACCAAACATTTTTGCGAATAAGTACTATTCCAAATTTGCTGTTAGTGATGCAAAATTAGCTTGAAGCATTCAGG